ATAAAAGAATTTAATTTAAAAAAAAAGCTATCAGGAACCCACAGCCATCAGTTATCTCATTAACAAACATCACTTTGGAGATCCCAAAATTATTAAGAATTGTGGGCCAGAAAACAAATATGTACTTTTTACCATATGAAAAATATCAAGGTAGGCCCAGGCATTTAAACTAGGGGACTAGCCAGGCATGGTGGCACACATCTGTAATCCCAGCACTCAGGAGACTGAGGCAGGAGGATCACTATGAGTTCAAGGCTAGCCGGGACGACATAGTGAGTTCAAGACCAGCCTGAACTATATAGTAAGACCTTGTCTCAAAAAACAAAATCAGAATCAGAAAACCAAAAACTAAGAGACTATGGCAAGAGCCTGTAACCCCAGCAATATGGGGAGGCTGAGGGATGACGATCAGGAGTTTGAGGTGGCCCTGGGCAATATAGCAAGGACCCTAGCTCAAAAAATTACATTAAGTATGAAATACCTGAGACCATGCTTGGAAGACACTAGCAGCATGTGTTCCCTTCCGTGTTATATATGTAGATACGTATTTTCATAGCTATATCTAAAAATGCAAAATAGCTGGGCACGGTGGTGCGTTCCTCTAATCCCAGCACTTAGGAGGCTGACGCAGGAGGATCACAATGACTTCATTCTCAGCCAGTCTGAACTACATATGGAAACGGGGATCCGGGGAGAAGGATGAGTGGGTGGAAACACCTAGCTCTGCAAGACCTGCCCCCACGTATCTGCCCTCTAGGAGGTCTGGCTAGTCAGCGCTGGTGTTCTTGGACGGGAAAGCAGAGGTCCTGCCTAGCTCTGCCCCTAGCTGTTTCTCAGGCACAGCGGGTCCCACTGGAGCGTGCCCCGCCTTCCACCTCTCCCCAGATGTGCGGCTGTACTGCAGATGACTGGCTCCCTGAGTGATCTCTGGATCCGTCTTTGGAGGGAAAGAAACCAAGCCACTCCACAACAGATGGCAGCTGCGGGCAGCGGTCCCTCCCGCCTGCGCCCACACTCGCCCCCCCCTTACCTTCCGCGCTCACGCCATCCAAGAAGTCCTCGGGGTCGCCGAAGTAGGGCTCAGCGACCTCGGCGATCTCAGTCGCGCTGCCCTCGGCCAGGGCGTCCCCTTGGCGTACTGTTCACAGGCCTGCTCCCCTGGGGGCTTGGCCTCGGCCTGAGTCACTGGCTCCTCTGTAGGCAGCAGCGGGAGCCACGCGGCGGGGTCCGAGGCTGCCTCCTCCGCCAGCTCAGCCCTCATCTCGGGCTTCGACTAGGCCGCTCCTCCAACGGCTGCACGGAGGCGGCGCGGCGGCCAGCTGTGCCGCGAGGGCTCTGCACACTCCTCAGCAGTCTCCTCGCCGCCACGGTTCACTGCTTCCTGCACTGGCCAGCGCAAGAGTCTTCGCCGGACTCCAACGCGTGCCGCGGACTCCCAGGCCGCCCAGCGTAGGACAGCGCTTTGCTGGGGTCGGGGGGAGCGGCGGCGAAGAGGCCGTACCAACTCCATGGGGGGGATCCAAACCCTACTCCCCGAGAAACCCCGAGGGAATCTGATGCTCACCAGAGTGTCTGCCACTAATACCCAAGGGGTTTTACTCGAGAAGAGAGTCCTCAGTTCCTATCGACAAACTTGCTCTTGGCATCCACTAAACTCACTGGACAGCCCCTGCCTTCCTACTCCTGGCTGCAATTTGAGTAGGCCCAGAATACCGAAAGCGCCAGCAGATTTGAGAATTCATTTCAAAATGCGAAATTGAATGAAAATATGGCGTAACTCTGAAACTTACACCATGCAGTATGTTTGAAGTGAGGGAGAGTATTTTAAGGGGGATTTATAGCGATATGTCTTTTACTGTAAAAAATTTTTAAATGTAAACATTAAAAAATAAAATGAAACTTAATATCATGGAAAACTGAAAGTTCAACTAATTTCTGCATGGGGCTGTCTTCGTCTATAGCTAGACAACCTGTTCAGCTTACTCCTAAAGTCCCCCTTTAAGTGTCGGAGTTTTAGACTCATCTACTGACAGGGCAAAAGAATGGATGATCCCAAGCGACAAGAAGAATTCGCGGTGAGCTAGGCTTGGCCGATGCGACTACAAAGACTACTTCTCACTGCAACACAAAAATGTAGCTGGACGGCTTCCTTCACGTACGAGGGTTACACCCCCAGTGGTTGCCCTCCCTGTGCTGACCCTCACTATGGTTTGATCCGCTGGAGAGCACAGGCGCAAACCAGAACACTCAAGTGGCTAGGCCGGATGAGAGTGGTCACGTGCGGGGCCCACTGAAATCGGTCACGTGGGCTGGGGCAAGCGTGGGCGGTGAGGATTTGGGTTGTTGGGGAGCAACCCGGTCTCGCTAAAATCTGCAAGTGGCCAGAAGCTCGTTTGTATGTTTTCTTCTCAACCCCTGTCCCACCTGCAGTGGGGCTTGAATCTAGGTCCTTCACACTGAGCTACATCTGGAGCCCCAGCCCCTTTTTAAAAAAAAATTTTTTTTTTTAATTTTGAGACAGGGTCTCACTATATGGCTAAGTTTCCCATCCTGGACTCGACTTTGGGGTCCTTCTGCCTCATCCTCCACGAGTGCTAGGATAACAGGCATGCCCTGCTATGCCCTATGCCTTGTGTTTTGCTGGGCTCCAGAGCTGCTGCTGGTTGTGGGATGTTTAATCCTCTTAAAGCGCTCTTCGGCCTGTGAGGGAATTAGTGCATAGGAGGTGAGCAGAGTTTCTGCCTATGGAGATGCAGAGCTCTGTAGGTATCCTGCAGGACAGTGAATGTCCCTCATGGCTCCGCACACTTAAATGTGGTTAAGATTGGGCGGGGGATTTAACTCAGTGGTGCTGCCACCTGCCTCAAAAGCACAAGGTCCTGAGTTCAATCCCCAGTACCAAAAATAAAAATAAAGTGATTAAGATGGGGCTGGAAGTAGCTTCGATACCGGCAGGTGGTAAAGAGCATGTGGTTTATAAGCTAAGACCTTAGGATTCATCTCCAGCCCCAGAAAATGTAAACAAGTACGGAGAAATACAGAGAGGAGCTCTTTCTTTTTTTTTTTTTTTGAAAGGATTTCATTTATGCGATCATTGGTAGTGTTGCAAGGTGGGGCTGCCTACCTTGCTGGTGTGGGAGAAAGAGACCCTTCCCTTGGAGCTCTGAGGGCTGGGCGGTGGGCTGTGCAGCAGTGTCACCACGGGCAGGTGAACAGGAGGAAAGGCAGCCCAGTGCAAAGGGCTTCACAGAAAAGCAGAGTGAATTTGAAAGCCCCTGGGAGAGCTCACAGGGAGCAGGAGGCAATGGCAGGGAAAGATGGGTGGGCCCTGGAAGAGGGTGTGCTGGTGTGTGTCTACCTTTGCCAGGCATGGGGTCCCTGCTGGCCTGCTCTTCCTGGGCTCATGTAGCCCCTGGAGGCGATGTGTAGCTGGCCAGTTCTTAAGGGAGGTTTGGAAGCCTCTCCCTGCCTTTATTTTGCTCAGGGTAGTAAATAGGCACAAGCAGTGTGTTTGGGGTGGCATTTCCTGGACTCCTCTGGAGTTGAGGACTCTGTCCTCAGGAGCTGCACTCCAGGGTTGGTGCAGGCCACCTTAGAGGCAGGTCCAGCTGGGACTGAGATGCTGATAAGGAGCCAGCAGTGGGATGGTTGCTAGGGGAGAAAGGCACAAGACTGGGGGTGGCTTTCTGAACGGGAATGGAAAGTGCAAAGGCCCTGGGACCTTGCAGGCCTTGGTGAGGTTTGTTCTCAGAACTAGAGAGTAGCCATGTTTTTCTGTAGTGTTTGAATTTTTTTCACTAAGCATGGATTTCTTCAAAATCAGTAACAGAAAATTAAAAACTGTAAAATAAAACACAAATCAAGAGGTGGATGTGGTGCACAGACCTGTAATCCCAGCACAAGAGAGGCTGAGGCAGGAGGAATGGCCAAAGTCAGGCCAGCCTGGACTACATACTGAGATCCTATCTCAAACACTAAGGAAAAAAAAAAGAAAGTATTTATAATAGCTTTACAATGGCTTTTGTGTGTGTTTGTGTGGTCTTGAGGCTAGAACCGAGGGCCTCATGCAGGCCAAGCACGCTCTTCCACTATGCCCCCTCATCCCAAGAATGCTTGTTTTGTTTTCAGATCAGGTCTCACCCTGTAGCTGAGGTTGGCCTGGAACTTGCAGTCCTCCTGCCTTGGCCTTCCTAGTGCTAGGATTACAGGCTTGCACCATTATGCCTGGGTAAGAATGATACATTTTATGCTGAATATACTTTACCACAGTAAAAAGGAAAAAAAAATATTTTAAAAGGTTCCTGGGCGTGATGACACATGCCTGTAATCCTAGCATTAGGGGAGGCTGAGGCAGGAAGATTGCATGTTTGAGCCCTGCCTGGGCAACTCAGTGACTTAACGAGAACCTGTCTCAAAATTTAAAAAATGAGTGCTTGCTTCAGCAGCACATATACTAAAATTTTAAAAATGAAAAGGGCTGGAGATGGAGCTCAATACCAAGGACCTGGGCTCAATCCCTAGTACTGTAAATAGCTATCATTTCTGGTGCATATTCCCTTGCAAACTCGCTGGGTATGGGTGAGCAGGATACTGCCCTGACTGGGCCATAGCTCACGCAGGGAGACTGGAGTGACCTGTGGCTGAGCCTGGGAGGGACATTGGAACTGTGGCATGAACCTAGGCGGGCTAAGCAACAGCTGACCTGCAGGTGGCGATATTGAGCCGCCTTTCAACCCCAGTCTTCCTAAACTCGGCTTCCTAGGACGGAAGCCCAGGGGCGACTCATCTCGCCGGAGTCTCTCGGTAGTTTCTTCAGGATGTTTTACGTGAGCGATTGCCTCTGAGTGTGCAGAGCAGTCAGAAGAGCAAAGAGGGCCGCTGAATCCTCAGGATCAGAGAGGACTCATGCAAAGCTCTCCCTTTCTGTGTAACAAATAGCTCCACCAGCTCCGGGCACAGGGCTCGCTCCCCGCTGCTGTTCACAACTTCAGCCACACGGGTGCAACATGGGCAGGAGTCCCTGCCTCGTTCCAATGCTGGCTTCTTCTCCACACCAGAGGTCTGGGCGAGTTACTCTCCTTCTTTAAGTCTGGAGTTCCTCAATACAGTAGTAGGGTGAAATGAAATGGGGAGGTCCCTGGGGCTGGGACCATTTTTTGCCTGGGTCCCGGCCGTTTCCTATCACTGTGCCTTTCTTTGGCCTGGGGGTTGGGTTCCTCTTCCCCCACCATTACTGCCCTGCAGTAAAGAGCAGTTTAGCTTTCACTGCCTGAGGCACTTCCACCACACTTGGTCTCCTCTGCTTCCCGCCCCCATGGCGATCCTCCTGCCTCAGCCTCCTAGTGCTAGGATTACAGGGATGTGCCACCATGCCCCGATAGATGAAGTCTTTTGAGCATCTTTTATTTTTATTTTTATGAAGAAAAGAACAGAGTAATAGACACGTACCCGTTCACCTACATGCAGTTTTGTTTGTTTGTTTTCTGTTTGTTTTATTTAGTGCTGGGGATTGAGCCCAGGGCCCTGCACATGCTAAATTCACACTCTAAACACTGAGCTATACTCCCAGCCGAAGACTTTAAGGCATCCACATTACACAATATTTGCTTGAGATTTTTCTTCCAAGAAAAAACAATGAGAAGCCTTCTTTATATCTCTTTAAATTTCTTCTCCTTCCCTCCCCAGAGAAACCATCAGGTATACATAAATGATGTAGTCATTGTTGTTTCTTGTTTTTGCCTTTGTGTTGTTGTTGTTCTCATTGTTTGGTATTTTTAATTGAAAATTTTTTTGTTTTTGTTTTTTTGAGACAAGATCTCACTATGTAATTCAGACTAAGCCTTGAGCTCACTAGCTTTGAACTTGTGGCAATCCTCCTGTCTCAGCCTCCCAAGTGCTGGGATTACAGGCATGCACCACCACTCCCTGCTCTGTCTGTCCCTTCCTTCCTTCCTTCCTTCCTTCCTTCCTTCCTTCCTTCCTTCCTTGTGGTACTGGCAGTTGAAACCTGGGCCTTTACACTCAGCTGCATCCCCAGCCTTTTTAACACGGGACTTTATCTCTGTCATGTATATATGACCAGTGGTTAGATTTTTTGATAATATGGTAATTCTAATGCTAACGTTTTGAGAAACTATGTATTATTTTTCAAAATGAGTAAACTACTTTACATTTCCATCAATAGTGTGCAAATGTTCTGAGTCAAATTTTCATAAACTGAAAAATAGATAACAAGTTTTAGTCTTCTGCATAGCGACCTCTAGTTTTCCCAGCACCATTTGTTAAATGGAATCCCCTTTTTCCAATGTATTTTTGTGTCCCCAGCCTTTTTAAAAAAATTGTTTTTAGAGCCAGGGATGTAGCTCAGTGGTGGCATGTCTGAATGGCATGCGCAAGGCCCTGAGTTCTATCACCTCCCTGGTAAAATTGTTTTTATTTTGAGACAGGGTCTCGCAAAATCACTGTGTAGCCTGAGCTGGGCTCAAACTTGCAATCTTCCTGCATCAGCTTCTCAGAGTGCTGGATTTACAACCATATCCCACCAGAACCATGTGTTATGGCTTTAAATGTTCACAGTTGCTATACGATTTTCTTTACCACACAAAATGATGTTTTCAAGATTTATCCATTCTGGTACATGCTGTTCTAGTTTATACATTGTAGGAATAAAGCACAATTTATTATTCAGTTCACATTGTCATAAAAAATAGATTGTTTTGGTTTTTTGATGTTATAAATAATAGTATAGTGAAAAATCTTGTACTTG